TATAGTTAAATACTGTTACGACAGCGGAAGTCACGTGACGCTAGTAACACGTCATAAGCTTTACTAGTAAAAATTCAACGTCCCTTCGTGAAGCCTTGAGTGTTTACTAGATATGCGGTATTCTTGTATATAAGACCGCCAAGATGTGACGACAACAATGTAGTTGAATTGCAGACAGAGATAGAGACGGACAGTTGGGTCGAGTGCGTGTGTCGTTCGTTGTGGATTATAGTGTGTGTTTAAGTTAACGTGACTGTGGAAATTAAGTGTACTGCAAAGTTGAATTGAGAAAGAATAAACTAATTTTATTTAAGAAAGGACTTGTATCGCTAAAGTTTCTTCGGAAAGCATTTTTACGGAAAATTAACAAACGACCAGAGAAGTAACAGTACTTTATTTCTTGTTTTCCACGTGTATTTATTTATTATTATAAAAGTATCTGAAACATTTTAGGTTAGAATAGGTAAAATAAAGAATAATAATAATAAATTTCACGAGGTACACTTGCAATAGTGATAGTTATGGGAAATTGTCTGCACGTTATTATTCTGTCTTCATTGGTGCATTAGTTAATTAAATAAAAAATTATTTAGTGCAGTAGTACCATTAGTTTAAAAAAAGTAGTGTTAAGTGTCATCGACTGTTAACAGCAAAAAATGATACAGGTAAGTACTTTATTTTTGTTTTTCATGTGTATTCTTTATTTATTATAAAAGTGTCAAAATATTTTTAGGTTAGATGAGGTTAGAATTGGTAAAGTAAAGAATAATATTAAATTTGAACAAGGTACACTCTCGAGTAGCATGTGCATTATGTAATTCAATATGTAATGAGCTCCATGTTCACCGAGTAATTTACAAATTTTATGGCAAGGATATTAGTTTAGACACAGTTCAAAGGGCAATAAAACAATAAAATACAAATAACTACAAAAAAGTATAAACAGATGTATACTGTTATGAGTTTAAAGCTATTTAGGATAAACAAATGTAGTTGCAAATTACAATTTGAAGTCATTTCAGAAAGGAAAAAAGGGACAATTTTAGATTTTTTATTTATTTATTTGTTTTGTGATTACAAGGTGGGTAAAATTGACCAAACTTGTATATATATATATTTATGACAGAGAAAATAACGTATGAAATATAAAGTTATACTGAAAAATAACATTTTATAATTACTGAACAGGTTTTACAGATTACACAAGTATTTTTTATCTTAGCATGAAAATAACTTTGCACTCAGAATAGTAAACAAAATGACTTGATATATTCACAGACAAATTGTTATTAAAAATGCTTGATTAAAAAATCAAATTTTTTGTATACAAAACTGTTGTAATGCTTGCTGAAAGTCTGCCAAATTTTGTAAATATATATTTACTGTACTAACAGTTATAGTATGGAAACTGTATTAAGCACAAAATAGTTACAAACTCAGTCGATTCAACTGAGCACATGTGGAAAGAGTTAACTCTCTCAACACCAATCACGTGACTTTTTTGTACTGCTTTAAAGTCTTTATAGATTTAATACTTCTAACTTTCAATATAGTCTGTATATCTTCACAAAATTTGGAAGCCTTTCAGTTAACATTATAAGTTTTTCACATATAAAAGTATTTTTTAGTGAAGTATTTTTAATAAACTAAAATAAAGATTTGACCATGAAAATATTGAGTATTTGTTTAAAATAGTCCCCGTGCAAAGTAAGATTCATATTAAGATTTAAAATACTTTTCTTCATTTCATTAAGCTCAAATTTCTTTTGTATAATCTCTAAAACCTCCTAAATACATTTCAAACGTTTTTTTTCACATAAAACTTTATATTTTATCTGTTTATAGTTTATCAGTCAATTTGTCCAATCTCGTAACCACCAAAAAAAATCTAAATAAATCTAAATTACCCATTTTTTCTTTGGGAATGACATCATATTCTTACATGAAGCTACATTAGTGCATGTTATTATTCTATGTTCTTTGGTGCATTATTTAATTAAATAAAAATTATTTAGTGCATTACTACCATTAGTATAAAAAAAGTCGAGTTAACTGTCAGCGACAATCGGGAGCAAGAAAAAAAGAAGATAGGGTAAATATTTTATTTCTTGTTTTTCATGTTCATTCTTTATTTATTATTATAAAAGAAATTAAAATTTAAAAATAGGAATCTTTTTACGCAAAATAAATAATAATAATATAATAAAAATGTTTCACGAGGTATGCATGTGAGTAATGTAATTCGATAGCATAACGTGAGCTGCACGTTTCCCCGAGTGATTTACAACTTATAATGGTGTGAATAGTAGTTAGCTATGGTTCAAACGGCAATAAAAGAATAAAATTTAATTATAAATAGATATATAGTGTTATAGAAAAAGCAGACAATTTCCCCTAACTATCACAATTTTTCTGGCTTTCTAACTATGTGCCAAACACCGTTACAGATTCAGCCAAGTTGGTCATTATCTTTCCTGTGGGAAAGAAGCTTGTATTAACTGAGAAACTGACAATCTTTTGTTCAGAAAACAATGTAATGTATTACATCATTTGATAGATGAAAACCTTGGTTTCTATTGGTTATATGTAATATAGAATTCAACATAAGAGAAAACTATTAATAAATCCTGAAAGAGAGGATATGACAGGTTGGTGTGGCATGAGGGGTCTGATTTTCTACTTGATGGCTCTTTAACCAAACAAAATTGAAGGCTATAAAAATCATGGTTTGTCTGAGTAATATATATATTTTATAATGAGTAATTTACATTAAATTTCATACTTATTGGAGGGGTGGTGAATAAAACAGTGAAGAGAGGATGCCTAAAGAAATTATGGCACATTTCTCACACTTGGGGAAATTCAGGATTTTTTAAAATATTGCTTTATAAAATTAAGAACTTAAAACTTATATACTATTAAAATATGGATTATTAGCTATGGTTTTATGCTATACAAATTGGTATAACATAAACAAGAAATAGTTTAATTACACTTTGAAAATAACTCGCTAAAATACCGTGACATGTGCAGTTAGACCCACCTGTTGCAAAAGGGTTAAAGGAGTGAATTTTTTGTACATTTAACTATTTATTAAAACTTTTGATTGTACCTGAATTGATCAACAAAGAGTGTATAAAAATAATCAAAGATGTTGAAAACAACCTTGTGTTATTAATAAAATAAAAAATGATACATGAAAACTGAAAATTCCTCTTCATCATCTGAAAACAAAACTTTTAAAAATTGGAAGGGCACAAACCATATATTCTATTAAATTAGAAACAACATGATTCCTACCTAAAATAGCTGTGAATGTTCAAATATGTTCTTAGTCTGCCATTTAAAGTTGTAAAGTTGTAAAAAGTAAAAATATTATCACAAGAAGCTTGTGTTACTGTAAGAAGCTCACGTACACTGATATAAAATTAAACAAAGTCACTACAGTTATTATAACAATTTAAAAATACTTTTTTCATCAGTCTACTTTTTCTGTACTTAACATAATACAACTAACACTATCAACAAAATGAGAAGGATAACAAGTCACGTGAGGTTCACCTTTTTCTCATCACTTGGAGATGTCTCCATATCAATGTCAGTTTTTTTTTGTACATGTGACATTATTGATGCTACAAAAGGGACATAAGAAAATCAGAACATGAAAAGATAAATAAATAGAAAACAGATTAATATGCAAAACATAAACAAGATAATAACATTCAATATCCAGTCAACAAAAGCATCTATAAAAAGCAACATAGTCAAATTTAATTTGTACTATTACAAAAATATACATAGAAGAATTTTGATAAAATGAAACTAAGCTTTATTGCTGTTTTTTACGCTCAACCAAAATGCTTAAACATTCTTGTGACTAGTATGCAAAGTGACATTTTACATAATTATTAAACATTTTACTCACATTTCACATCCTTTCAAGATTCGATGATGAGGTACCCACTTTGAGACTAATAATGGCTGGAGACGGCTTGAATGGGTAATGAAGAAAAATTTTAATATAAGTTTAACATAACAGCAAATGTACAACGTTTCGACAAGGTTTTGTCATCATCGGGTACCCATTCAAGCCGTCTCCAGCCATTATTATCCTTAGAAGACATTTTTCCAAGTTTGGAAAAATTGCATGCTTCAGAAAGAAAGCTCTTACAAAAAATCAATTTAATGTAGTTTCACTTAAACAAATGCATGTGATACTGAGACTCAGAAAAGAGGATGACTTACTATTAAAACAGAAAATAATTATTCCAAAAGGGTTCACAATATGTTAAATACAGAAATAACTAAATATGTTATGAACAAAATTATGTTGTCTTTTACTTAATACTTTGTTTCTGATATACAGCAATAACTAAGATATTTTCACAGTGATAATCCTATAGTTCTTACCAAAAAAGAAATCTACATAAATAATAGGCTTTCATTTGTCTGTCCAAAACTTTTCTCACAAATTTTTCAATCAAACACTACAAATCTCATATCATTAGAAAGGCCTTTGTCCAAGGAGTCCAGATTGCATATTGGCTTTTCAATTCAAAATCACCTTACCTATATTTTGCTTAGTCAAACTTATCAATGCAATGAGTATGGTACAAGACGGCACAATGTCGTTGTAATCACATGACAACTGACTTTGATTTCAACTTAAGTTTTTTTTATTTGCAACATATTTCACACAAACAACACTTAACCCATGTGTAATTTCCTAAAAAATACAACTTCTATGGGCTTTCTTGACTTACTTAGGTCTAAAATATCTATGCACAGTTCATTCAAACCATATGCTTGTCACTTTGTAAACACACATTCAGATATTTCTGCATATTCAGATAAGTTTACCTTCATTACAACTTCACATTTACTTTATGTCAAGAACTTACTTTTTTAGTTTGTATATAGTAAGTAAATATATGGGTGTGTGTTGGGCTAAGGATTCTTCTACAGTAGGTGTCTGTGAATTGTTTGCAATAAATTCAACAATAAATGGACAGCATGCACTCCACTTGTTTTAAAATAATATATTCAAAACAAGTTAAATGTATGTACAAAAATTCTTTACACTATGGAAATCACAGTTGTATCTTAAATATAATACAGCTCTCTTCTTTTTGTCAAAAGTCCACTTAGGCCAATTCAATTGCTTTAGAATTCACTTAACACGCCAAACAATTTTTCTCTTATTTTTATCTTAAACACTATCAGTGTATAATTAACTGATTCCTTTTCTTCTTTTATCACAACAGTACCGGTGTATAATTCACTTATGCTGTCGTTGAGTTGCAACAGTTGTATCCTGAACTTGTGATACTCATCTGCTTTTTCATATTTAGGCCTACTACCAATAAATGTCTGCTTTTCGCATGTAATCCTACTTCCAAATAATCATATGCTTTTTGTCAAAGCCCACAAAAGCAGGATCAATTACTCTAGAACACCCTTTCATGACACAAATTATTCTCTTAAAATGTCAGAAAACTGCTAATCTTACTTTAACATATTAACCATAAGGCTATTCACTCCTACAATGATTAACTTTACGTTTTCTAATTTTTCTCTGACTGAAACTCTCAACTGGCTTTACTTTTGGCTCTCTTCTATCCACAACTATTTATATCTCTCACTGATGCATTCTAGAAACCTCCATAACATTGACATCAATAGCTTACAAGTACAACTTCCAATGATCATCTGATTTTAACTCTATTACAAAAAACTAAACAATCATGAAATATTAACTCACAAAATAAATTTATTACACTAGTCTTTTATATCTGACACTTTACTTTGCAATAACTTAGCTTCAGCTCATTTTATAGACTACTATAAACATCTTTTAGCTGCTATTTTCTACAGTACGTGTTTTATTCTCTGTTTTTGTGAGTTTCTTTGTTTAAACTCTTAAAACTGTGTCATACACTTAATGTTCATAACTGTTTCATACTCTGTAGACTGTTATAAATACCATTACTTTATCGTTAACTATATGTGCACCTTATTAAATAAAGTTCTGTCTACACAAATTTGTCTGATCACATAAAATTTTTTAAACAGACCAGAATTTATCAATTTACCACCATACCTGCAAGAAACCATAGCTTAAATAGTGTGCATGAAAATGATAGAATAAGGAAAATTCAAGCAAAGAGCATGAAAACTAACACAAATGTTTGCAGGTTGTAGCTAGTGTGTGTGCATAAGAAAATACTGGAATATCAGACTTTTTTTTTCTTTCTTTTATTAATTTCTTTCCCCAGTTTCATGACTTCAAAGGTCACTCTTCAGGAAATAGTTTTATGGAGGTTTTTAACAACAAACATACAAATACTGTTTTTCAATTAAACATAAATAACCTAAATTGAATACATATACTTCCCAAATGTACAAACATATAATACAGTCCATGTATAAATTAAGTACATTACAAATGTTTAAAAATAAATAAAATTAGTCAATAAACTTTACTTTTTGAATTAAAATCTTATTATTTGTCATTATAATGGAAATGCAATTTATTTATCCTATAATTTAATAATTTTACTTATTTTTCCTTTTCTATAAGTCTTAGTAACTGTTTTCATGATTTCACAATTCCTACTGACTTTACACAACCAATTACTTCTGCCTTCTTAGTACTATCTACTTAAAGTGGCACCAAAAAAATGTATAAAATATTTTTCGAAAAATAATCATTTATGTTTTACATTACATTCCTCAAAAGAGGAAACATGAAAATATGATTCTTTTAGAATTTAAGATTTTCTCAAAATACATTTATTAAAATGTTTACTGACATACAGTAGGCTT